TGTGGATGAAAAAATCCTTCATCCCCTTCCTCAATCCCCTTTTCCCTATCTGTTATTTTTTAAATACCAAATTATGTAAATGCTATTTTAATTGATTATTTTTATGCCAATACATACGGGAGATCCAACTAACTACTACTACTACACATACACTATGTATGTGCATTGCCTACGCGTTGTAAAACATAACTCAAAAACATAATTAAGTTATGTAAATGCTTTGGTTTGCATTATTTTTGTGTTAAACAATTTGCTATTTAATTAGTTTAATTATCTACTAAATGGTTGGGTTACAAAAACAACAAGAACCGACAGATTTTATTTATCCACATAGGTGACAAAAAATTGGTTTGGGTTCAATATTATTGTGTATCGGTGCGGTGTGTGTGTGGCACACAATGTAATATTTTTGGTGTCAATTTATGGGGAAATATATACAGAGAGATAATTAAATTATTTGGTTAAAATAAAATATATAGGGGATAATGTGTGGAAACAAATTTTAGTAATGTTTTGTAGGGCGATATTATTTAATGGCGAAAATTTTCGATTACATTTTGAATGAAAAACAAATATTTTTAAAAACTTTTAGATTTAATATCATGTGTCGTATTAGACATTTTATTTAAATTTCTTTATTGGGGCATATTAGTCATATTTTTTAATTAAAAATTTTATTTTAAAATTTAGTTGTTTTGCTAATAATACCTCAAGGCGTGATTTTTTGTTTAAGTTTATTAAATTTGAAAGAAAAATGTTAGTTACGTTTTGAACCAAAAAAAAAAACATCCGTAGGTTTGACATCATGTGTCGTATTAGTAATATTATATAAAATTATTTACGTATTCATTGGGCGTATAAGTCATATAATTTTCAAGCCATTGATTTTTTTCATTTAATAATTTTTTTGATATTTTACTTTAAAAATTATAAAAGTTTCTCAATTTTTGTGATTGTGAATAAATCCATGACGTATTTCTTTATTATATTTTATTACCTTTTTATACCTTTTTTTTCCTTCCACAAAATAAATTTTAAATTAATATTCAAACCTAACGACCGTACAATGCCTATATTTTCCTCTATTTACTACTATTTTTATACAACCATGTGAGCTTAACTTTGACAAAACATTAAAACAACATCCACAAAGGCAAGGCAAAGCAAGCAGGCAAACCACCAAAACAAAAATCAACCGGTTTATTAAAAGAGTCTCGCACACACACACATTCTCTCTTCGCATTCACAGCCATTGAAATGCATTATAAAAAAACAAACAAGCCAACAAGCCCACCTCACACACATAGCAATACACAAAGAGGCAGGCAGTGACCGAATGAGAGAGAGCACTCGTATCATTCATACGAGACTCTTTGACAACAGCAAATGTATTGTTGTAGTTAACACAAACAATGTGATGTTGTATGTAGTGGGTTAACTGTGGTTTACTGGGAAATGAACAAAGAGTGGGCAAAGTAATGAGAGAGAGCGAAAGCCACACAGAGTAGTGAGTTGGAAATAATAAAACAAAAACGACGCCTCTTAATAATAACACAACTACCAACAATAACAACAAAACAAAAAACCCACATTTAAACAACACAAAGGAACAAGCAGACCGCATAGGCACACACAGACACACATACTGATACATAAAGCAACAGCAACCAACCACCAGTACATCCTAATGTATATTTGAAGTTTATACAATGGGCATAAAATGTGTAAGGCCTAAAAACAAACATATGCATGCAACAAAAAAAAACAATGATACAATTGTAAAGAGTTGTTTTGTTGTTGGTTTAATGAGCCATGGGCAGAGACAGACGAAAGTTAAATGCAGATGTCCGTTGTCAGAAAACAAGAACAAAAATGAGCAAGACTTAATGAGAGAGCGACACAAAGCAGAAAAAGAGTTTTACAAAAACAAAAGATTTCAAACTCCATAAAGCTAATTATAAAATCACTGGGCCATAAACGACAATAAACTTTAATTGCAACAAAACAACAAAAGAAAATATAATATATTATATTTGTACAAAGAAAAATAAGAAAATAATTTACGTGGCAATTGTGGCGTATGCTTATTTTTTACATAGATTTTTTTGTATTAAAACTTTATTTACGCTTCAAGCCTCAAGCTCGCTCGTTCGTTGTGTCTTTCTTATTACTTTGTTGTATGTGTTTTTTTTCCTCCTTCTCATCCTCTTCTTCTTCTCTGCATGAGCAAGTATGGTCATTATCGTCTGTACTTTTGTTTGTTTGTATTGCGTCGTATATTTTTTTTATTATAAATATCATTGTCGTGGTTGTTGTTGTTGTTTTTCTTGTTATTTAGTGAAACAAGTCGACCTCAGCATTTTGCTGTTTTGTTATTTTCAGCTCTACTCTACTGTACCACTTGACGTATGAATAACTTGAAATGTTATTCGTATCACTGTACTACGAAAATGAAATACACAATGCAAATTAAATCAAGAAAAAAATTAGCTGTGCATTTTCGAATCTAAGGGGGAGAAGGGTTATTATTTGAATTACTTTGTCGTACAAATAGTGTTGATTTAGTTCTGAATTATTTATTAAGAAATTTTGTTCAAATAAATTACTGCTCTAATGAAAAAAAGGGTTGCAACAGATGTTCCGAACAAAGTAATTCTAAGGTGGATTACAATTTGTTTTAAAAATTTATGGATTTTTTAGAGGAAAAAAATAATTCTCAAGAGTATTGTAATGCGAAATTAATTTTGAATGAAATATTTTCTAATACCCCATATTTTTATATTTATTTTTGAAACCACACAAAAGGCAAGGTATGAATAATATCGCTAACAAAATATTACTCATACCACCCAATGTCAATTACTCAGCATGCTATTGTAGAAATAAAATATATAGAGTCGCTTAAAAAAAGTCCAGACTAGGGCAGCATAGCTGAAGACTGAGCGTCTGATGGCCTTATATGTCGCTACTATGATTTCCTTGTCTTTCCCCAAGAGGTTCATGCGCTGTCTTGGTCTTATTTTTTTCTGGATTTACTTTTAATTAACGCTGGGTTTTTGGTGAAATTTAGCAGGTTGTCGAACACAACACCCAGGATATTATTTTTCTATCTGGAAATAATTTCATCAATGTCTACTCCAGAAGAGTGGTGACAGGACTCCTCCTTGCGGTACACCCATTTCGGAATTCCAATTGATAAGTTTTTGTCATGGGAATGTGTCTGGAGGAAACTGCCGTTTCCGTTTTCTTCAAAACCGAACTTTGTCGAAAATATTTGCTGTCGATGATCCTTCATTTTTCTGTGTAATTAGTAATAATTATTTAATTTGCATCACAAAATACATATCTTACCTTGTGTAGTCCATTCGTCTTGATTAATCCACAATAAAATATTCAAGCTTTTAATACCTCTGGTCATATCCATGATCCGATAGCTGTCAAATTTCCAATAACGTATATTGAAGATTATGAAGTTCTAAAAACAAGAAAACAAGTCGTAGAGATCGGCCTGGCCGAACAGCTGTTTCGTTTGAAATATGTGCTCCAAAATACCTAAAATAAGGCAGGACCATAATACCGAAAATATCCCATTTTCAATGCCAATCATCCTTACTATGTTGTTAAATTGTGTCTTCAAAATTCCAAGCCCTGTTCTGATTTTCTCAGATATTCTGACGTGATAGAAATCTGACGAATATTTTGAGGTGAGTCCAGCGGAATGATGGACCTAATATACACTCACTCTTATGGTGGGGGGAATAAGGATTTAATTTTCAGGCCTGGGACCTTTCAATTGACCTCTGACGTTCTTACAATTTCCTTTCAAGACCTTCTTCAAGTTTTCCCATGAAACACACAAAATTACCAAACAATTTTTGTTTTAATTAATTTTTATTTGTTCATATTTATAAAAACTATATATAAAACATAAAAAGGGCAGTCTAGTATTTGGTTATAAAAATACGAGTAATAATATTGAAATTAATTAGATCTAATTCTTAGAGTTAGAGGAATAAAATGAGTAGGGAATTTTTAAGAAAAAGAAATGTATTAATGATACTGATAGAAAATCTCCTAAATTTTAATATTTATAGAAGAATAAGGTTAGTTTTTCTTAGGATTTTTTTTTCCAATATTAGTTGGATAATAGGTGGTAGTTGTATTTTTTCTTAATTATTAATATTTATGTTTACATAGAGACGACGACAAACATAATTAGCTAATCTAAATTAAAATAAAAACTTTTTTTGGAAAATATTAAGGCACATAAAAATGAACATATATAGAGACAAACAAAAAAAATACAATACGATTTCTATGCTAGATTAGATGATTATAGGTGTTATTCTTTTGTAAGTATATCAAAAGGAAATGAAAACTAGCAGTGGTATCAAGGCACTACACCAGATTTAAATAGAAATATTCTCAAAAAAATGTAGATGAGGATAAGAACCTTAGTCCAATGTAAATGGGGATAGATAGATTTGGAATTCATATATTCTATAGATGATTGCCAATGATAGTATATGACCCCTACACTTTGCAATTGGTAGTATCTATTTTTTAGTATATTTGCATTGGTATAATTTACTTCATTGTATATAGCCATGAATATATTCATAGCTATATTAAATAAACATTGGAGATTATATATTCTATATAAAGTTACAAGTGGCTATATTTACCTTCTATTAGACAGGAAATTCAGATAACCTATCATATATAAGATGGCATTAAGGATACTTCACTAGTACTTTAATAAACATTAGCATTATTTGATTCATTCTATATAATAGATTACTAATATGAGTAAGTCCTCATAGCAGATGATCACTGGTATTATCTTTTATATATTATATCTATATCATATCTCGATAGAAATATACCCAAATATTCTATATTATAAACTGGTGTAGACTATGAAAAAAATATTTGATAATTACAAAAATAACAATTACCAAAACTTATAGCATTTAACAGCAACGATACTCTTACCTCGACTAGCTTGTGGTGGTATTCTTTTCCTGCTTAACATTACATATTCTACGATTACCTTTAAATCCCTCACTAATTTCATTATCAATTGTTTCCAATTTCACCGAAACATTTAGATCTGCTAGACAAGGTTTCTTTTCTTCTTGATCATCCTCCTCAACAATAACCTGACAATCAGGCACTATAATTTCTTCCTGCTTCACTTGTTGTTTCAATTTCGCCTGCAGTTCCTCAATCAACTTTTGTTGTCTCGCTATCTGTTCTTTCCAATCTTTCGGTTTTGGACCAGGTTTTTTACGGATTACCGGACCTTCCGAATGATCACGTTCCATATGGGCTTTAACGTTAACATTTGACGAATAGCTACGATCACAAAATTTACACTTAAACGGCTTCTCGCCCGTATGTTTACGCATATGTATTTTACGATCGATGTTGCGTAGAAAACGCTTTTCACAATATTCACATTTGAAATTTTTCAAAGCATCACCCATATGCAGCTTTTTGTGAGCTATAAGATTTTGATTGGCTCGAAATGATTTATTGCACACTTCACAGATAAAGGGTTTTTCGCCGGTATGCACCCGGATATGGGTTTTTAAATCGGCACTACGGACAAAGGCTTTGGGGCACATGGAACACTGGAAACGACGATCGTTGCTGTGATGACGCATGTGTAAATTGTAATCGGCTCGAGTACAACATCCCAGATTACAAATTTCACAAATGAATTTCAGTTGTTTGGAATGACGTTGTTTGTGTTCCTCCAAACGATGCATGAAACGAAATTGTTTTTGGCATTCATCACATGTAAAGGGTTTCTCTCCATTATGTATAAATTGATGTTCGACTAGGCGAAAATGTTTATTAAATGACCGTGGACAATCGGGGCAGGTGAAACGTTTGTCACCGTTTTGCTTCTGGGTGGTGGGCGAGTTGTAGGAATCGCTTGATTCATTGCCATCTTTACCCTGCAGGCTTAGTTTACGTTTAGGTGGTGATGCCTAAAGGGAGAAAAAAGCAAAGACACATTAAAATCTTAACAACAAAATAATGGAAATAGCCCTCACTTACATCCTTAAGATTCCTCGCACTCCTCCTTGTCCGTCTGGGCGGTGAAGCTGCCAGAAATTCTTCCACATTTCCCCCCGCCTCATCGCCTTTCTCCTGTTTCACCGGATAGTTGGCAAATTCCAATACCTCCTTTGCATTTAACGTTGTTGCTTCATCCTGACCAGCAGGTTCCTGCTTGATTTGTATACCTTTCAGATTGTTTACCATTGCTGTTGCACTTTTAACTTTGACAGGCATTCCTTGGTTGTGAAAAACAAATCTAGGAATTTATATTTCTATTACTTTATTTCTTGAAAACATTTATAATAAATGTTTAGAATTTTTTATTGTTTATTTTAAAATTTATTTGTTAATTTTCGGCCTTCTCACACAGTAGTTTTTTTCCTGATAACAATTAGAAACTGACGCGCTTGTATGCCATATGATATTTTCTTCTGTGGGCTCTCCTTCTCTTTTTGTTCTCTCTCGCATGTCATATAACAAGGGTTCACTAGTTATGAAATAGGACTAGTTTTTATGGGTGCTTATAGAACCCTTGTCAGCTGATGGGCAATGACACCATCGTTCATTGTTAAATAAAATAATAAAACTCAAATAATACTAAATAAATGGTAAAAATAATAAAAAATTAATTATAAAATTTAAATAATTATAGTAATTTATTTTAAATCGATAATGATTTTAAATTTAAAAACAATTTTTTAAACTAAAAAAATTAAAGTGATCATATAAAAATAATGGATAAATAAAAAAATTATACAAATTAATATTAATAATAAAATTAATTTATTTCGCTTTTTTGCAACAAAGCCTAAATGGCCGTTGATAGGTACACAATACAACAATTATTTAAGCTCCTCTTACACCTAGAATAAACTTAAATAATAAAGCAAAAATAATTAAAAAGCAAAGAAACAAAGCTATTAAACAGCTGTTATCGCTGAACAGCTGATTAGTCATGACAGGTTCATTTGTTTTGTATTTAAACGAGAACAAATAGTACAAGGAACGCCAATTTTTCAATACTTTGGAATTGCTTGTTTTGAGTTTTTAATAGTTTTTCTTCAAATTTTACTTTTTTGCCATATTTAAAAAAGTAAAGGAACATAGCTATTGTAGACATCCATATGTTCCCGTACTGCAAGATTCTACTACTTTTTACTACGATAATGTATTTTCCTTTATGATATCGAATTGTACATATATTTTTAATTATTTTGTATTTAGATACAAGTTTTCTACTTAGAATGATGTGTTATATTAATACTATTTATTGGCCTTGGAGGCTTTAGTATTAAAGAATGAGTTTAATAAATTAAATTAAAATAGTAAAATCTAGTGGATTCTTGCAGTACGGGAACAGACCAATCACCCCTATTCTGTATGTCGTCGTCGACACGAATCGACGTCGAAGAGAGTCGTCTTTTGCAAATTGGTATTCCCTATGTCGTTGTCGACATTTATCGATAACTATTGAAAGATTTTTGGTATTCCGTAACAATGTGTGACGACGACGATGTCGAAGATTTCTTCGTCATAGTTTTTGTTGACGACTGAAGCGTTTGAACATTTTTTTTTGAAATTAAAAAAAAAACAAGAACAGGATACATCATTCTAGAATCTATTCAATACTTAATGCAAAATAAAGTGTAAATAAAGAAAAATATATGGGATCTATATATAAATCTAAACCGATTTTGACCAATGTCAATAGGACTCGTCTATGTGGAAATAAAATTTCATCCCAATTGGATGGATTTTTTCCAAATTTCATCCCGTTCGGATCATAATGGTGGCATGTAACTTGTTTAAAATAATACATGAATGGAGGGACATGCATAAATCGACTAAAAAATAATTCTATGTACATACTATATACTAAAAAGTAACTATGGGTCTATGTCGTTTCGTTTTGCAAACACATTTACCAAGACATAATGCCCTGTGGCACAGTGCGGTGAAGGATACAAACACATTTTTGCCCAAAAATATGCAACAAAATTTTTGTTTTTATTGATATTATCGATAAATAGTCGACATCGTCGCATGAGTGTTACAGAATACCAAATCAGTGTCGAAGTGATGTCGATGTCGATGCGAAGTGATGTCGAAAGAGAAACGTCGTCGACAACGACGACGACATACGGAATAGGGGTGAATAATGATCAACTGGATTTACTATCAATAGGACGGAGTATCGCGGGCCAATAGCTTAGCTCTAGTCAACTTATCGAATCAACTGATTGCCTTTATTGTTTGCCCAATTGATTAGGGATCCTTTCCCTCCTTGGACCATTATCTACCATATTTTAATTAAGTAAATTTCAGACTAATTTACATACCTCCAGTACCAATAATGAACCTTTCGAATTAATTTATTAAAAAATAAAAACACAGATTTTGTTTAAGATTTTTTAGTGTGTAAAAAATATATATTTCATATACATAAAGTGAAATTATAACTAATTATAATAATAATGTTTATAGAAATCTTATAAAATAATTTAAAAATATAGATATTTTAAAAAGATAATATAAAAAAAATTGATATTCATTGAGCGACCATAAACTAAAGTTTTGATGGAAGAGTTGCGGTAGTAGAAGTATTCAAAAAAATTAAATTGATAAATATTAAGTAGTTTTTTTTGTTTTCAAAATGTCTTTTAATTATTAAAACAAATATTTAAATAAATTAACGTTGACATTATTTCATTGAAACATTAATTCTTTTTTAAATATTCTTTAAGTATTTTCAAAATAGATATATTTTATAATTCATGTGTGGATACTTAAATAACTAAACCATTTTCAAAAAAATATAAATACAAAAATGTGTGCGTATGAAAAAAATGAATGAGTAATTATTAAAAAAAAGGTAATTTCAATTTTTCTTGTATTTTTTTTTCATTACAAAATTATTGTTTATGTAAAATGTGTAAGAAAAAATTGGTTTCTTATAATGGAGATTTAACTTTTTTTAGGATTTTAAATCCTTTTCACTAACATTATAGTTTAATATTTTTTATAATAAATATATTATAAAAATATATATGTATATAGATATTGTGTGTATATTTCATAAAGAATGTGTGTTTGTTATAGTAATATTTTAACCTGGTTTTATTACATTTTATTTTTAAGTCTTATGAGTCTTTTTAGTTTGTTGTATAATTCATGTTTTTATCAAAAATAGTTGTGTATATATTTGTTAACAATTTCGTTTCATTTGTTTTTATATAACAATAAGTTATACTTTTAGTAATAATATCATGTTTTTTATTTTTTTTTTTTAATTTTTTAAAAAATATATTTTTTGTTAAACAAAGACAAGGCCGGGAAATTTCTTGTCTATAAATTTGTTTGCAGGGGCAAGTAAAGTTTTTTGTTTATATTTTTTAGAAATTATCATTTCATACTAAAATGTTCATTTATAAAAAAATATGTATGTAGGATTTCAATTGAAAATAATCATTTGCAAATCTATATATCAATGATATTTTATTTTATATCTTACAATCTGTTGCCTTACATTTAAAAACTAGTTCTACATATGCGAGGCCTTCTTACGGAATTAAGTATAGAATTGAATGCCCTTTTTAAAGTTGGAAGATTGAGAAAAATGCAAGTTATTGTCTCTTAAAAGTATGCATCAATTTTTAACCTTGAATTACTTCTCCATTTACTCGGATTTTTTAGGTTATGTCTGGGAAATCGATGCAATTTTGGAGTGTTTTGAATTTTGATATTTTAATTTTTAGAAACCAAATCGATTTCGATGTCTTTTTATATTTGAAATAAAAGTATGCACTAATTTTTAACCATCCTGGCATTTCTTGATCTTGATTAAAACTCTATAATTTCAATTGCCTCAATTCTGAAGTTAGTAGATGAGAGAGTTGAGGGGTATGGCAACCCTATACCTCTCTCTCACCTATCAACTGAGAATTGCCTCAAATAAAATTGACCATTTTAAATCAGGATTTGGAAATGGATAATAAAACTTCCGTTTTTTGTTTTTAATTTTGGTTTCTATATCTCAATTCCAAATCAATTTAATTTATCAAAAAATCAAATCGATTTAATTTCCACATGAAGTGATTAACGCAACTCCTAAAAGTATGCACCTAATTTTGCAATGTTTATACACATTACCTTAACCATTACCTTCATTACTCTCGGTAAACGCCCATTCTCTCCTTTCCTCTCTTTCTCTGCCTCTGTTTTTACAAAATCATATCTTCTGCCATTTACGATTTCTGACCGATCACCGTGAAATAACTTGTGATTTTGCGCTCCTTCTTTACACCATGACCGGGAGCTGTCGACGCCACCAAACTCTTCGATGGACTGCTGGAATTTTCTTTCTCCGGCGTAGATGATGCCGTGCCACTATCATTGGGTGATGATGAAATATTATCGACTTGCATAGAAACTGTTACCGATACCTGTTGAATACCCAGCGAAGTTTTCTGCTGGACAACTTGGGTGGTGGTGGCATCTTTTTTCACCACGGGCAAATGTATATTTGAAGATCTTACAGACGGTTTTACTGGAATGCTAGCAGACGGAGGAGAGGAAGAAGCAACCAATAATCCACTTTTTTGTTTGGCAGCTATGGTAAAGGGATTATCTTTAAGACCACTCGCGGCGGTCGTGGAGACCAGAGTTGGAGGAGATTGTTGTTGCTGTTCCATAGAATTGTTATTGATTGGTGAACTTATCTCTGATATAATATAGGTTTCATTTTCCACTGCCGTTGTGTTGTTGGGCACTATAATCTCTTCCATGTGATGATCCTCCATATCACTTTCATTGATCGGTTGCATTTCGGCTGGTATAATTTTCTCATCCGTCTTGATTTGCATCATCAATTGTTTTTGCAGCTCTTCGATGAGTCTCTTTTGTATTTTTAACTCCTCTCGCAAACTATGCGGCTTCGGGCCCGGTTTCTTTCGACCATTTTCTGAGATATGATCACGTTCAATATGGGCCCGAACATTAAATTTCGATGAATAGGCACGATCACATATCTCACATTTGAACGGTTTTTCACCGGTGTGGGAACGCATGTGCACAGTGCGATCGATTTTTCGCAAGAATTTCTTATCACAATGTTCACATTGATACGTCCTCGAAGCCTCTCCCATGTGGGACTTGCGATGAACACTGAGATTCTGATTGGCCCGGAAACATTTGTGACATATCTCACAGACATAAGGCTTTTCGCCGGTGTGTAC